TTTTAGTTTGCTTGTTTATGAACATATTTTGATAAAATTTGTAAAATACATTCATTTTTTACTAAACTATTAACATTTTACCACAAAACATCTTTTTGCAGCAAACCTAAGTACGTTAAACTAATCTATTAAAATAGGGAATAAATGTGATACTTTTCAGGAGACATTTTAGTGTAAATCCAATCAGGCAAATGGAAATTCACTTAGTCTGCAGGTTTGCTGCGGCGGGGGTATTATTATTTTAACAGGCTGTTGTAGTTATTCTTACATGCAATATAGAAAGCTACGGAGAAGAGAAGAGAAAGGAAATAAAAAAGGCTACGGCGCGCTTACATGCTTATATGCTATTATATATGTTATTATGCTTATATGGAAGTTTTCAGAGTTTAGTACTGAGATTGCAGCAAAACGTTAGTTGTGGCGACCCTTCAATTAAATATCCCTTCAGAGTCATCATATTTATCGAGGAGTAACAAACACAAGACAACTTACTTGATAAATTTGCATAAGTTTTATGTTTAGTTACTGTTTATTTTATATTTCTGATTTTATATTTTTGCAGCAACTACAAATAAAATACAAAATAATTGTGATTAGAGAAAACAGTATTATTTTACCTGCACGTTCAGCAAACAGGAGGTGGACATGGGGTGGTTGGACACCAAGAGCTTCAGCACGTTGATTGTTTTCCTCAACTATCTCCCTCATCATCGTAAAAGCCTGTGAAAATGGGTTTTGACTTCTCATTATCTCCTCTAAAATCTGTATTAGTTCTTGATTGATGCCTTGATTCATTGGTTCATTCATACGTTCTGCAACGGCTGTTTCCGGATCAATGAAGTACATTTGGCCATATCTAGGTCTTTCCAAATCACCCTCACTGTTGCTGACTGGCTGAGCCGCCAAATTTAACTTGTGATACACTTGTCCACCAGCAGTAAATGTATAAATACCTTTACTATTGAAAGTCCTGTCATCAGCAACATTGAATGAAGAAAAAGCAAAACAGGCAGAAATATTTCGAATTTTATCGTGGAACTGTTTGGCTAGTCTGTGTTGTTTTGTGTACAGCAATGCCAATTCATTGGGAAACTCTGGCGCAGGTTGTTCAATGCGACCATGAAGGCAACAGTCACCAAATGAATTAGGGTGAATTCTGTTCTGCACTCTCTCTTTTAAAAAATGAACAGCACCACAATGAACACATGCGATGTCAAACATTCCCAAATTGCTGTACTCTACGAGGCTTGAGGCAGCGGCTTTATAGGATTGAAGTTGGTTACGCTCAGAATTCTGTCGTATTTCAGCTGTACGACGACGCTGTTCTCGCAGGCGTTGAGCACGCTCGTCTACCACTTCAGCATCCCTGCGGTTGGCATCTCTTTGCCTCTGTTCTTCAAGACGTCGAACACGCTCGTCATCGTCCTCGGCGGCTCTGCGGATAGCGGCTGCTTGCCGCAGTTCTTCAAGCCGTCGAACACGCTCGTCTTCTTCTTCGGCGGCTCTGCGGATAGCGGCTGCTTGCCGCAGTTCTTCAAGACGTCGAACATGCTCGTCTTCGTCCTCGGCGGCTCTGCGGATAGCGGCTGCTTGCCGCAGTTCTTCAAGGCGTCGTGCTCGCTTGTCCTCCTCCTCGGCAGCCCTGCGGTTGACGTCTCTTTGCCGCTGTTCTTCGAGGCGTCGTGCTCGCATGTCCTCCTCCTCGGCAGCCCTGCGGTTGACGTCTCTTTGCCGCTGTTCTTCGAGGCGTCGTGCTCGATTCTCCTCCTCCTCGGCAGCCCTGCGGTTGGCGTCTCTTTGTCGCTGTTCCTCAAGGCGAGTGGCACGAGCCTGGCTGTCTTCTGACATTCTTCTTTGCTCAAAATAATTTACCTTTTCTTCCACCATAGATTGACTTATTTGAGCACTTACATCAGAAATTATCTCCAGAGCCCTTATCTTTGCACATCTAATGGGTTTGTTGGAAGTCATCAGCTGTACAAATAAAAAATCTGTATTAAGGTTGTGTTAATTTGTAATACTGCAACATTTGTATCCTAGTCTACTGAGAGTAAAAATTGAAGCATCACCTGGCCAATTTTAGAATATATTCCTATCTACACTTGTTGCGTTATACTTACTCTTGGCATACTCCAATACCAGAATAAGAATAATAATTTATCATAATGGAAAATAAAAATAAATGTATAACAACTTCAACAAACAATACCAGTAGGTCTATTTGTTTACTAGCAACAGTAAAGACTCATGAAAATATATGATGATCCTCTAACCTATATCCACCATTAATGGTTACTTTTTGCAAAAGTTATCTTTTCTATTCTGGTCTTTAGGTACATAAGGCATTTACACTGTCCAAAAATCGAGTAATGCAATTTTTAACCGCATACAATAACAATAATGACAGATTTTTTTGCGTGATTAGAATATTTTTTTAAATTTTCTGTTTGAACCAAACTCATACTTTTCTACAGTACATTAAATGTAATTTCAAATATGAATTAACCACAAAAAGAATGGTTCAACTTTTTAAAATTATTTAGCCTACTGTGGCAATGCGGTTTAGGTATAGTTACTCATACTCACATTTTCATCTGATTGATCTGGTAACATGCGCACTCCATTTGTGACCTGAAATTTAAATATTTGTCTTTTATGCTTGTTGAAAGGTAATTTTAATTGTATCTAAGTGTAAGCTATTTTTCAAAGATCGTAAAATTGGTGACTGATTACTTACCTACTTTATTAGTTATTGGTACTGTATTATTAATTTATCACAAAATAATATTTATAAACTAAATAAATTAATACTTTTGAATAATTTTACATTAATAATACGGTTGAGATGATAATAAAGACTCACATTTTGTTCAGATTGAACTTCTAAGACACATACACCAGACCCCTCAGGTCCTTCAGGATCAGGTTCTTTTGCAGCCTGAAATAAAAAAAAAATGTTTGATCAAAGAAAGAAAATTTAAGCTCCTTTCTAAAGGTCGTAAAAAATGGTAACTAACCCTATAGCCTACCTCTTCCTCCACAATGCTACTTACTTACTTTCCGTGTCCGGAAATCAGACTTCGCTTTTCCAGAAATTAGCTACCGATATGGCTTTGTCATTCGCTTGTAAAAGGTAATCTAATGTGGTCTAGGCATGGACATCAGTACATGGCCGGGATCCTGAACAACACCACACGCACACAAGACGTTGTCTTCGTCTTGTAAGAGACCCATTTCTGCATGTTTGTCTTGCATTTTGGTACCTCGACCCTGATTCGGTCTTGAGTCTTCCACACCGTGTAATGAAGGCATCCACCAGGAGCCAGTTCCTCCCTGGCTGGTATGGGAGGGTTGGCCTCCCACCTTTCCATCCGATTGCTCTGAGTGTGATCCATCCAGAACTCGTGTCCGTGATATGAAGCTCTTTTTGGACCGAAGTAAGACTACACTACACAATAGTAAAGATATTTGTGTGTAGGACAATGCTCAAGACGGTCTCCCCACCATGTCACATTCAACTTACAGCCTGCTTCTCTATTGTTTGGGTGAAAAAGGCACAAACTTTCTGCTTGAAACACTCTTGCTATTTCAATAGAACAAATTCCTGAATGATATTAGATTTTACAAATTTATAATTGGATGCTAGCTCATACAAAACCATTCTTATCTACAGGTTTTGAAGTATTGAAAACTTACCTTAAACTCCTCATGAGCTTGCCTAACTACTAAAATTTATTAGAGAAACTGACATCATTATATTTATTTAACCATAATGACCAGTAAATTGGACAAAAGTTAAGAATTCAAATTTTTTAATTAAACAAATAAGTTTATTCCTTAGTTATCCTACCTTTATAGAATTGTTTTAATCCATCCTAAACAAAATATAACTATTTCAATGTAATGATGTTCACAAAATTGTAAATTGTCATCTAACTTTTTAATGTACCTCACACAATGAGCTATAGAGAAATATAAAATAAGCAACTCTATTCCAATTTCTGTATTCGTGGTGTAAGCTAGTAATGACATACCACACGGATTTAATGTATGTAATTAAATTAATAAAGGTATATATTTTATAACTTACCTGGTCTTCATCAGCTTTGTGACTTTTAAAGAAATTCCCCAACTTCTTCAAACTTCTATTTGGTGGTCGTCCTCTTTTCATGATTTCAGATTTTTTGTTGAGTACATTTCCATCTAGTAACGAATTTTTTGAGGCAAGATGTTTACAAACAAAACTCTATTGTTGATACGTTAATCACAAACATGTGACTTTTAACCACATGTGCATAATGCAAAATTTTTATTTCAGTATTAGTTTTGTAATTATTTATTTCAGTATTAGTTTTGCCATAATGCATAATGACATAATACAATCCAATCGGATTGAGTCGACTCTAGATTTTAAACAAAGTTGGCCACAATAAGAATAAAATATTTTCGACTTTTTTCGAGCTAGTGATATAGTAATACACTTTTTACCGTTCTAGAGTTGAGATATATAGTTACCAAAGTATGTGCTTGCATAAAGCTCATACAATAATTGACATAGGCCTACCACTTTTCCATAATTTCATACTACATAAATATTTTACCCTTTTCTTAGGATTTAAGCATGGATAGAATATGATAAAACATAGTCCCTTAGTAGATTTCCCATCCTTATGGAACAGCTGAAGCCAATTTTATTGTTAGATCCGCCCGGTTTTCTGTAGATGTCGTGTTTGGTTTACAATTTGTTTCTTGTTATTTCAGTAATTTAAACCCTAGTTTAACCAAATAAAACTATCTAATCATAAACAATAACTCGTCCATTAGCTATATAACCAAACAGTGAGACACAAATAATGAGAAACTAACCCTAAAATAATAGAAACAGATTGTAGACAAAAACGACATATACAGAAAACCGGACAGAACTACCAATAAAATTGGCTTCAGCTGTTCCATAAGGATGGGGAATCTAACCGTAGCATTTGAGTATTTTAGATACATTAATCCAACTGCCGCAGACGCTTCCTACACTCCGCACTGCTAGCCTTTACTACAAACATTGTATCCAGTAATCTTCAGCATAATCTTTGCTTAATAGTAACAACTGATGTTTTTGCTTTTGTACTGTATTTTGTAATTTCTAGTATACTGTGGGTAGATGGCCTTTATGAACACATGTTTTAACTTACAAGTCTTTTGATTACTTTTTCCTTGTTATTTAATTCTTCCAACATGGTTACTTAGCAACCCATAAGACTAATGTTAAAAAAATGTGACTTTCAGTTTCATTTTTCTACGTAATTAGATTTTTGTTGGCAGTTGTAACTGTAGTAAACTCGTTTTTAGGCCAAAAATAATCTATTTACAACATTTGAAGAAAATCGTCGGAGCCGTTTTCGAGATCTTGGTGCAAGCAAGCAAGCATACATACATACAAGCAAACATTGCTCGTAATGCATCCAAAGCGGCATTTAGCTGATCCACCCTTATTCTCCATACATGACGCAGACGGATTAAGTTCGCCACATGGATTGTGAATCATCCATTTGAGGACCAACTCCCTTAGAACTGGGTCATCATTAGGAATTTCTGCCGAAATGAAAGTGTCTACTTCCTCTGGAGACCGGAGTTTGTCTTCATTTGCCATGATGACAAGAAGATGTAGGTGGGGTAATCCTCGTTTTTGAAATTCTATAGTGTAAACAAAAGCAGAAGACTTCCCAAAAATCTGTTTCTTACTGATATCTTCAACTATGCTGTCAAATTTCAATTTGGCTACCCTAGCCACAATGTCAGGTCTTTCTTGGGCGAACTGTTGTAGTTTAGAACCATCAGAGAGCTCAATACATGCAGCTTCTTTTAATTCTGGCCATGTTGGACTGCACGTTATTGTGATAAAAAAGTCTGGAGAGCCAAACCTTCGGACAATTGCCATAGCGTCTTCAAAGTGTTCAGTGAAATATCTCGTTGATCCGGGAAAAGATGATGGTAAAATCAGTTTTTCAGCAACTGTAGCATTTTTCTTTTCAGCCAATTCATTTAGAAAATGTGTTACTCCTGCATACTGATCAGCTTGAAGTTTCTTTTGGTTATATTTGATCCACTGAATACGATCACGTTCAACACGGATGTATGTGTCCACGACGTACTGTTGAAACAGTCTACCACCAAAGTGGAGAGCATTAAATCCAATCGACCTTAGATCTAATCCCTCTAGCAATGGTTCAGGAGGAAGAGCCTTGGCTTGTTCTGGACGAAAGGCTAACCTGTATTGAGCCAACTCCATCCTCGTCATGTGTGCACGGCTTGCATAAGGCGTTTTAAGAGGAAGCCCTACAGTAAACCCAAAAGTTCCTTTTGGGTAGAGGAGAGGGTAGGTGAATGGTTCTACTCGGCTGTCAATGTTCTTGAGCGTTATTAACTGTTTTCCTCGCTCCTTAATAACCATCTCATTTTCCGGGATACTTTGGTCTGCATTTAATGTAATTACAGCAGCAACTTCATTATAAGTTGGTGAGTTGAATCGCCTGGGATCATCGCCTAAAAGTAAACATCGTAAATTAATGATATGAAAAACAAAAAAATCTTAACTTTAATCGTTATTTAGTTCTAAGAGAAAAATGACACAAATAAAAATATGTTTTTTACCCTAAAAACAAAAAATTTCATAATTTCTTTCCAAACCATTTTGTAGAGCTTAAAAAAACAAATAATTTAATATATTGAAGCGTTATTGTGCGCCTAATGGTTACGGAGAAAATTCCAAAAAATTGTAAATTTAAAATTCCTATGTTATTCTTATGGAGAATAAGTCAACTGTTTTAGTTTGCTTGTTTATGAACATATTTTGATAAAATTTGTAAAATACATTCATTTTTTACTAAACTATTAACATTTTACCACAAAACATCTTTTTGCAGCAAACCTAAGTACGTTAAACTAATCTATTAAAATAGGGAATAAATGTGATACTTTTCAGGAGACATTTTAGTGTAAATCCAATCAGGCAAATGGAAATTCACTTAGTCTGCAGGTTTGCTGCGGCGGGGGTATTATTATTTTAACAGGCTGTTGTAGTTATTCTTACATGCAATATAGAAAGCTACGGAGAAGAGAAGAGAAAGGAAATAAAAAAGGCTACGGCGCGCTTACATGCTTATATGCTATTATATATGTTATTATGCTTATATGGAAGTTTTCAGAGTTTAGTACTGAGATTGCAGCAAAACGTTAGTTGTGGCGACCCTTCAATTAAATATCCCTTCAGAGTCATCATATTTATCGAGGAGTAACAAACACAAGACAACTTACTTGATAAATTTGCATAAGTTTTATGTTTAGTTACTGTTTATTTTATATTTCTGATTTTATATTTTTGCAGCAACTACAAATAACATACAAAATAATTGTGATTAGAGAAAACAGTATTATTTTACCTGCACGTTCAGCAAACAGGAGGTGGACATGGGGTGGTTGGACACCAAGAGCTTCAGCACGTTGATTGTTTTCCTCAACTATCTCCCTCATCATCGTAAAAGCCTGTGAAAATGGGTTTTGACTTCTCATTATCTCCTCTAAAATCTGTATTAGTTCTTGATTGATGCCTTGATTCATTGGTTCATTCATACGTTCTGCAACGGCTGTTTCCGGATCAATGAAGTACATTTGGCCATATCTAGGTCTTTCCAAATCACCCTCACTGTTGCTGACTGGCTGAGCCGCCAAATTTAACTTGTGATACACTTGTACACCAGCAGTAAATGTATAAATACCTTTACTATTGAAAGTCCTGTCATCAGCAACATTGAATGAAGAAAAAGCAAAACAGGCAGAAATATTTCGAATTTTATCGTGGAACTGTTTGGCTAGTCTGTGTTGTTTTGTGTACAGCAATGCCAATTCATTGGGAAACTCTGGCGCAGGTTGTTCAATGCGACCATGAAGGCAACAGTCACCAAATGAATTAGGGTGAATTCTGTTCTGCACTCTCTCTTTTAAAAAATGAACAGCACCACAATGAACACATGCGATGTCAAACATTCCCAAATTGCTGTACTCTACGAGGCTTGAGGCAGCGGCTTTATAGGATTGAAGTTGGTTACGCTCAGAATTCTGTCGTATTTCAGCTGTACGACGACGCTGTTCTCGCAGGCGTTGAGCACGCTCGTCTACCACTTCAGCATCCCTGCGGTTGGCATCTCTTTGCCTCTGTTCTTCAAGACGTCGAACACGCTCGTCATCGTCCTCGGCGGCTCTGCGGATAGCGGCTGCTTGCCGCAGTTCTTCAAGCCGTCGAACACGCTCGTCTTCTTCTTCGGCGGCTCTGCGGATAGCGGCTGCTTGCCGCAGTTCTTCAAGACGTCGAACATGCTCGTCTTCGTCCTCGGCGGCTCTGCGGATAGCGGCTGCTTGCCGCAGTTCTTCAAGGCGTCGTGCTCGCTTGTCCTCCTCCTCGGCAGCCCTGCGGTTGACGTCTCTTTGCCGCTGTTCTTCGAGGCGTCGTGCTCGCATGTCCTCCTCCTCGGCAGCCCTGCGGTTGACGTCTCTTTGCCGCTGTTCTTCGAGGCGTCGTGCTCGATTCTCCTCCTCCTCGGCAGCCCTGCGGTTGGCGTCTCTTTGTCGCTGTTCCTCAAGGCGAGTGGCACGAGCCTGGCTGTCTTCTGACATTCTTCTTTGCTCAAAATAATTTACCTTTTCTTCCACCATAGATTGACTTATTTGAGCACTTACATCAGAAATTATCTCCAGAGCCCTTATCTTTGCACATCTAATGGGTTTGTTGGAAGTCATCAGCTGTACAAATAAAAAATCTGTATTAAGGTTGTGTTAATTTGTAATACTGCAACATTTGTATCCTAGTCTACTGAGAGTAAAAATTGAAGCATCACCTGGCCAATTTTAGAATATATTCCTATCTACACTTGTTGCGTTATACTTACTCTTGGCATACTCCAATACCAGAATAAGAATAATAATTTATCATAATGGAAAATAAAAATAAATGTATAACAACTTCAACAAACAATACCAGTAGGTCTATTTGTTTACTAGCAACAGTAAAGACTCATGAAAATATATGATGATCCTCTAACCTATATCCACCATTAATGGTTACTTTTTGCAAAAGTTATCTTTTCTATTCTGGTCTTTAGGTACATAAGGCATTTACACTGTCCAAAAATCGAGTAATGCAATTTTTAACCGCATACAATAACAATAATGACAGATTTTTTTGCGTGATTAGAATATTTTTTTAAATTTTCTGTTTGAACCAAACTCATACTTTTCTACAGTACATTAAATGTAATTTCAAATATGAATTAACCACAAAAAGAATGGTTCAACTTTTTAAAATTATTTAGCCTACTGTGGCAATGCGGTTTAGGTATAGTTACTCATACTCACATTTTCATCTGATTGATCTGGTAACATGCGCACTCCATTTGTGACCTGAAATTTAAATATTTGTCTTTTATGCTTGTTGAAAGGTAATTTTAATTGTATCTAAGTGTAAGCTATTTTTCAAAGATCGTAAAATTGGTGACTGATTACTTACCTACTTTATTAGTTATTGGTACTGTATTATTAATTTATCACAAAATAATATTTATAAACTAAATAAATTAATACTTTTGAATAATTTTACATTAATAATACGGTTGAGATGATAATAAAGACTCACATTTTGTTCAGATTGAACTTCTAAGACACATACACCAGACCCCTCAGGTCCTTCAGGATCAGGTTCTTTTGCAGCCTGAAATAAAAAAAAAATGTTTGATCAAAGAAAGAAAATTTAAGCTCCTTTCTAAAGGTCGTAAAAAATGGTAACTAACCCTATAGCCTACCTCTTCCTCCACAATGCTACTTACTTACTTTCCGTGTCCGGAAATCAGACTTCGCTTTTCCAGAAATTAGCTACCGATATGGCTTTGTCATTCGCTTGTAAAAGGTAATCTAATGTGGTCTAGGCATGGACATCAGTACATGGCCGGGATCCTGAACAACACCACACGCACACAAGACGTTGTCTTCGTCTTGTAAGAGACCCATTTCTGCATGTTTGTCTTGCATTTTGGTACCTCGACCCTGATTCGGTCTTGAGTCTTCCACACCGTGTAATGAAGGCATCCACCAGGATCCAGTTCCTCCCTGGCTGGTATGGGAGGGTTGGCCTCCCACCTTTCCATCCGATTGCTCTGAGTGTGATCCATCCAGAACTCGTGTCCGTGATATGAAGCTCTTTTTGGACCGAAGTAAGACTACACTACACAATAGTAAAGATATTTGTGTGTAGGACAATGCTCAAGACGGTCTCCCCACCATGTCACATTCAACTTACAGCCTGCTTCTCTATTGTTTGGGTGAAAAAGGCACAAACTTTCTGCTTGAAACACTCTTGCTATTTCAATAGAACAAATTCCTGAATGATATTAGATTTTACAAATTTATAATTGGATGCTAGCTCATACAAAACCATTCTTATCTACAGGTTTTGAAGTATTGAAAACTTACCTTAAACTCCTCATGAGCTTGCCTAACTACTAAAATTTATTAGAGAAACTGACATCATTATATTTATTTAACCATAATGACCAGTAAATTGGACAAAAGTTAAGAATTCAAATTTTTTAATTAAACAAATAAGTTTATTCCTTAGTTATCCTACCTTTATAGAATTGTTTTAATCCATCCTAAACAAAATATAACTATTTCAATGTAATGATGTTCACAAAATTGTAAATTGTCATCTAACTTTTTAATGTACCTCACACAATGAGCTATAGAGAAATATAAAATAAGCAACTCTATTCCAATTTCTGTATTCGTGGTGTAAGCTAGTAATGACATACCACACGGATTTAATGTATGTAATTAAATTAATAAAGGTATATATTTTATAACTTACCTGGTCTTCATCAGCTTTGTGACTTTTAAAGAAATTCCCCAACTTCTTCAAACTTCTATTTGGTGGTCGTCCTCTTTTCATGATTTCAGATTTTTTGTTGAGTACATTTCCATCTAGTAACGAATTTTTTGAGGCAAGATGTTTACAAACAAAACTCTATTGTTGATACGTTAATCACAAACATGTGACTTTTAACCACATGTGCATAATGCAAAATTTTTATTTCAGTATTAGTTTTGTAATTATTTATTTCAGTATTAGTTTTGCCATAATGCATAATGACATAATACAATCCAATCGGATTGAGTCGACTCTAGATTTTAAACAAAGTTGGCCACAATAAGAATAAAATATTTTCGACTTTTTTCGAGCTAGTGATATAGTAATACACTTTTTACCGTTCTAGAGTTGAGATATATAGTTACCAAAGTATGTGCTTGCATAAAGCTCATACAATAATTGACATAGGCCTACCACTTTTCCATAATTTCATACTACATAAATATTTTACCCTTTTCTTAGGATTTAAGCATGGATAGAATATGATAAAACATAGTCCCTTAGTAGATTTCCCATCCTTATGGAACAGCTGAAGCCAATTTTATTGTTAGATCCGCCCGGTTTTCTGTAGATGTCGTGTTTGGTTTACAATTTGTTTCTTGTTATTTCAGTAATTTAAACCCTAGTTTAACCAAATAAAACTATCTAATCATAAACAATAACTCGTCCATTAGCTATATAACCAAACAGTGAGACACAAATAATGAGAAACTAACCCTAAAATAATAGAAACAGATTGTAGACAAAAACGACATATACAGAAAACCGGACAGAACTACCAATAAAATTGGCTTCAGCTGTTCCATAAGGATGGGGAATCTAACCGTAGCATTTGAGTATTTTAGATACATTAATCCAACTGCCGCAGACGCTTCCTACACTCCGCACTGCTAGCCTTTACTACAAACATTGTATCCAGTAATCTTCAGCATAATCTTTGCTTAATAGTAACAACTGATGTTTTTGCTTTTGTACTGTATTTTGTAATTTCTAGTATACTGTGGGTAGATGGCCTTTATGAACACATGTTTTAACTTACAAGTCTTTTGTTTACTTTTTCCTTGTTATTTAATTCTTCCAACATGGTTACTTAGCAACCCATAAGACTAATGTTAAAAAAATGTGACTTTCAGTTTCATTTTTCTACGTAATTAGATTTTTGTTGGCAGTTGTAACTGTAGTAAACTCGTTTTTAGGCCAAAAATAATCTATTTACAACATTTGAAGAAAATCGTCGGAGCCGTTTTCGAGATCTTGGTGCAAGCAAGCAAGCATACATACATACAAGCAAACATTGCTCGTATTAGAGTATAGGATATGTCTCTGTTTGAAGTAGGCCTAAAGTAAAATATCAAATAATTTTTGATTTGTTATTTATACATATTTGAAATGATTATTACAGTACAAGTATTATTTTAATAACGTGCGAAAGTTCCGCATTGACCTATACCTAGACAATTTGAATCATAAAAGTACAGTACTAGGTTGACCGCAACTGTAGCCGTTGGGAGGCTCACATCGTTGGACGATCCTTTATGATATCAATGGCATTTCCGGCATTTCCGCTCGGGTATTGTATACTGCTGGAGAGATAGACAGCAATTGAGATAAGACTTGTTTGATTTGTTTCGGCTTCTTTAATGTATGAAATGTAAAAATACACAAATTTTCAATTACCTCCACCTATTGAACTAATGTATTATTATCAATTGCATGCACCCAACGTTTTTTGTTTTAAATCTTAAGTATTTATACTCTCCACATATTTATAATTTATTTTCTAGTTTTTAATGTGTTTGGATGTTAAATCTATTAAGCATCTATATCAGATTAAGACAGAGGCATGTGATGGGAAATCTAAGGTTTATTTGAGTTTCTTTTCATATAATTATGTATTAGATTGAATGTATGGCCTACCTACTAACTATAAATATACCAATCTACTAGCAGAGTACCCGTCCTTCTTATGGGGTTGGCATATAAGTATAAAATGCTTATTGTAGTTATACCATAGATAAAATGAGTATAGACTATAATCAAGAGTTATACTCAAGCTTTGCGTATGCAATGGGGAGGACACAGTTTGATAAAATTTGCTTCTTTAAATTTACAGTTTACATAAACATAGCCATTAACTTATGTTCTACCACTTCACCTAAACAATAGAGAAAAAAATTATAAAAATCCACAAAATATCACAAATTATTCATGAAATTAGAAACGCAAAGATAACACAATCCTACTTTGACATTTCTCATTACTATCACAGTTTTTTTTTTGCTGCTTAGTTCAAATGAGCTGTTCTCATAAATGCAAAATAAACGGTATCAGCAATTTGACACATACTTTCTCCCATTAGCTTGTCAACAACCTTTATCATAGGTAAGCGATGATAGTGGTAGGCCTATTTAATAGGTAAAATCTCAAAAGTTTCCATTATCCCATTACCCATTATCCATGATATTATATGGATTAGCCACTTTGCCGTTAATTAATGAATTAAAAACCATCACAGATACAAACCAAGTATGACATGCGGATGACTCATCATGTCAAGAAAAACTTTATAATGTGATGAAATGGTGAGAGAAATTACAAGAAATTGGGCCTAAATATGGTTACTAACCACAAGCTCGCAAAACCTGTTTGATTGTTGGATCTGAACCATCAACATTAGACCTATCCAACATATCAGGATTAAAGATTGTTACTGGGAGTAGTTATTTAGGAGGATTTATTGGATGTGTCAAAACTGAAAAAGATGTCTTTATTAAAAAGAAGGTAGAAAAGTGGAATAGTCATTTGGTAAAAGTCTGGCGAATGTAGCTGAAAAATACCCACAATCTGAACACACTGTTGCCACAAAATCAATACAAGCTAAATGGATTTTTTTTCAAAGAGTTGTTGAAAGTGAAGACATTAATTTTCATCCAGTAAAAAACTCAATAGAACAAAACCTATTTCCTGCTTTATTTGGCTCTCACCTAAACCAAGATGAACAACAAATATTACATCTGCAAGTAAAAAATGGAGGAATTGGTTTAGTGGATCCTACCGCTCAGGGAAAAGCATTGTTCCGAGCTTCAAAGAGATGTTGTAAATTCATCATAGACTCCCTAAAAACTAAGAGGAAAATAAGAATGCAAGAACATGAAGAACATTTGATTATCACAAAAAATGACTTGAAAGAGGAGAGAAGATTAGGAGAAGAAAACATTTTGAAATCGACTATTCAAAATTTTCCTCTAAAACAACAAAAAATTATCTTGCGAGGAGCAATACTAAAGCGAAACACAGTGGATGGCTGTCATGCATTCCTCTGAAAAAACTTAACTTAGATCTTTCTCCACTGGAGTTCAGAGATGCTCTTGCATTAAGATATGGGAAAACTCCTATACACCTCCACTCTTCATGTGATGGCTGTGGCAAAAACTTCAATATGGAACATCCCCTTAAATGTTGCACAGGTGGTTTGATAATAAGAAGACATAATGAGGTAAGGGATACCCTTGGAAGCTTGATGGAGCTAGCATGGGGAAACTGTGTGTGTGGGGAACCAATGATCTCTGAGCAAGGATCATTTGATACTGCAGCACTAAAAGCAGACTTGGCTTGTAGGGGTGTATGGGAGGTTCAGACGGAAGCATTATTTGATGTACGTGTCGTTGACACTGATGCTCCATCGTACTTGAACCTCCCATACAAAAAAGTGTTGGAGAATGCAGAAAGAGAGAAGAGCAAATATTTAACAATAACAGAAACCAGAAATGTATCTTCACTAGTCACGTCTGTGGACGTAATGCTGGGCAAAGAGTTTCAGACCTTGCTCAGAGCAATGGCAGAACGCCTAACAGAAAAATGGAAGAAACCTTTTTGTGCGACGTTTAGGGCCAGCAGCATGTGTCTATAAGGAGGACAAGGAAGAAGTGGAGGACCCTTAGAGAGTTTGAAGATGGGGCTGGAGTACCAGTTATTTATTAATTTAAATAGCAAATGTTTTATTATTTTTCCATATCAAAATTGTGAATTATATTATTTAGTATTAAAAAAAAAATTACAGATGACTTAAATTAATTGATATATTTACATTCTTTCAAAATGTAAACATGGAAAATTTGGAAGGCCATGGGGCATAGCCCAAGGGAAATGTGAAATTAAATGATATAATATTGCATTTTCATCCATTTGGGGAGCTATGTTTCAAATTTAAAGTCTCTAGCTCATCGGGAACTTTGTTTAAAATTAATATCAAAATTTGTAGGAAAGCGACTACCGAGCTAATAAAAACAAGCCCATGCCCATGGGGCGTAGCACAAGGGAAATATGAAAATTAAATAATATTGCATTGTCATCCATTTGTGAGCTATGTTTCAAGTTTCAAGTCTCTATAGCTCATTGGGAACTTAGTATAAAATTGATTGCAAAATTTGTACCAGACAAGAAAGCGAGCTAATAAAAAACGTGTTAATATATAATTCTGAGCAATTTACAGACAAAACTCTAATTATATTTATGAAGATTTATTGTTTGTTTGTTTACTCTATTACTGAATTATTAATTATAATCATAATTATGAATCTTTGATTCTCAATTCAATTCTCATTACTGTATAGATGTTTGCATTACCACAAAGTTATTGGTTTTTGTTCTGTCATACTGTTCAATGCAAACACAAGGTTGCCTGCATATTCCAACCATGGTAAGTGTGTGTAACTTATTCAGTTATAGGCTAGTTTGACTAGCCAGAAAACCGGGCTGACACTAACAATGACAGGTTTTTACTTTCCTGACCCTATTTTCACAAGGTCAGTTTGTGTGATGTATTTTCCAGGGTGGCTATTTCAGTGACATCCATATCCATGTTAACACGTTCGCGGCGGCATGGGAGCGATCGCTCCCATACGGAACCCTAATGCCATCCTGGTGGGTGCGATCGCTCCCAAGCTGCAATGCAGTACGAAATGATTTATTTTTAAGCCAGGATTAGAGCTAGAAACTTGAAACCTCGCACAGCACTGCTCAATAGTATACTGTATTTTGTTGTGGTGTTGGTTGGTAGTAAATATTCCCGTAAATCCCCGTCTGGCAATCTCAAAATTCTACTTTTGTCCCGTCTTTTTCCCTCCATTTGGCAATACAATTCCAATGGGACCGGCTACGTTACAAGCAGTGCTGCTATCTGTTGGTGTTTAGCGAACTACGTCAACTCTCGTTGTAAAGCAGGACATCCCTGCACGTTATTTGCTATTTGTCAGCCCGAAATTGGAAAGCCAATCACACGCGGCAATCGGGTTTGTTCGATGCTGAGGGCTACGCCGGACCTGGGATACGCCCGCCATTTGACGTGCCGCCGCGAACGTGTTAATCAAACACAAGAACAAACACTGAAAATCTTCAAAAATATTGTTCAAAATGGTTCTTTGTGCTGGAAATATATAAACACCTTACCTACCCTATGTTAAAAAAATCTAAAATCGTATAACTCATTGAGCGAAGCTCTTATACGTTGACTCTTATGCATTTCGTAATATGCAATCTCCTTCTAGACGGCTGAAGTAATCATTTTCAAATTTTGCATGGTGATAAAGACCATATATATCGGTGAGTGCTAACATCTATATAGCGTTAAAAAAACTCTCTAAGGAATCCCCCCCACTGGCTCTAAAAATTTGTATGTAATCTTTATGGACGCAGTATTTGACATAAAAACAAAGACACAAGATCAGCTGTTGACTTATTAAAGGACTTAACTGAAACGGCTACTTTAAAAAAAGGTCGTAGGTAAAAGGAATTACTGTAACTGTTATCTTATTATAATAATAGTTGTTTATTACAAATCCAGTTATTTTATTATAATAAACCTTTTAATTGGAAGTCAACTATACTTTTTATACTAAATAAATTGTTGTTAATTTAATTCCCTCATCAGTAGATTGAAATATATATAAAAATAGTCACACAATGTCCACAAAATGTCAATATCAAGCAGCTGATTCGAATCCTACCTGGTGTTTTCTAGTTATGTTTAATTTTTTTACTCCTATTATGGATACTATAATAAAAAGTGTTCCAATAGTTACATGAATAACAAAACCCGGTTCTTATAAAAAAAAGTTGACCCATAAATTGAACTAGGTATATATGTTGCTTGAAATCGAGCAATCGCAAAGAAGTACATAAAGGAGTTATTTAAAAACAAATAACTTGTTTAAGAACAAATATAATTTATAAATTCCGATGAGTCTAAAAGAGTCAACTCAAAGATTACGTAACTAATGATAATACTCACAATGTAACTTACCAGTTCAACAAAATCAACATTTCTTGTAAATATCTTATCATGTTTCAAAAGCTGATCTGGCTTTAGCATGGTGGAAGGAAAAAAACATAGGTGTGCTATTCCCGTCATATTCTGATGTCACTTGGATTGCAAACAAAAGATCACCTGATTATAACTGTCAAATTAGTATATGTATTTGTTTTGATTTGGTTGTTATTGTTTTTATAATGTGTTTTTTTATAAAAAAACATTAACAATCAAATCAAAACAATTACATACTAATTTGACAGTTACAATCAGGTGATCTTTTGTTTGCAATCCAAGTGACGTCAGAATATGACGGGAATAGCACACCTATGTTTTTTCCTTCCACCATAGGCTTTTAGTGTGTTGTAGAAATGTTTCCCACTTATAGCCACAATAGGTTGTCCATGTTGGTCTTTGTCAATGATAATGTAGTTTGCGTGGTATCACCCATTGTCGCCAGTACGTTTACAAACTTCAGTCTTTATTTTAATAGCACTAAATAACCATTAAGAGGGTTCCCTACCCCCACCAAAAAACTTCAGAAACCGCTTCGCGCGGTATCATATAGCGATTCTAGTTTTAACATTTAAATTGTGAACCAAACACCATATTGTACATAAAGAGTGGTTCTACTAAGTTTGCTTTTTAAAAAATGTCTATGCTTACGCAATCAAGGGCAACGACTTGTCAAAGTTAGTGAACTTTAACTGTAAAGTTCACTAACTTTGACAAGTCGTTGCCCTTGATTACGTAAGCATAGACATTTTTTAAAAAGCAAACTTAGTAGAACCACTCTTTATGTACAATATGGTGTTTGGTTCACAATTTAAATGTTTAAACTAGAATCGCTATATGATACCGCGTGAAGCGGTTTTCTGACGTTTTTTGGCGGGGGTAGGGAACCCTCTTAACTACCTGATTTTCTGCATAACCTCTCTGTCACAATTTTATAATTAACATATGTTCTTCTTCTCACTTTAAATTTCTGACAACAGCTGGAGTTTCATAACAATATTTGTTTCCCATGTTAATCTTATGGAGAAATACAAAACTTTAAAGAGCCCCAGGTCCTCACTCTCTAATTATTTCCCTAAAAAGAAAGTTTCTTGCACAACTTCACGTTATGCTCTTTCCAATGACACCAAAAACATGTCAATCGGTTCAGTAATTTCGGAGAAGTAATTGTCACAAAAACCTGCTTGCGTACCTTTTTAATAAGTAAAGATACAAAATTAGGTACATCAATCTCCTTAAAACCAAATCACAAATCCTTCAATCACTCAAAAGTCACAATAAATCATTAATAAAAACACAAACATAAGCTGTTATAAACTTTAGAATATTGCTATGTCTTTTTAACCCTTAATTTGGCAAACAAATCTTTTTTTGAAAACTACTTTTTCCTTGCAATATTCCAATCAAAAGGGTCCAAAGGAACTTCAAAAAATAATTTTAAAATTTTTATAAGTATTTTTCACAATTTTTTCATGTGTGCCGTTTTTGGCACTTTGCCAAAGATGCGGAGATTTCTCTATGAATCTTATGTTGAATTAAGTACAACAAGTTTATCTGTATAGCACTTAAAAATAAACTTTAGGGTTTAAATAAGTCGACATTATCACATATTGGATATCAAAATTTTGATATCAAAATAGTTATACAATTGTATAACTATAATTATATGTAAGATATAAAAAAATCAATTTCTCCACAAAAGTTATCAATCCAATATAAAATGGTATAAACGTCATTATAAAAAAATGAACTAAAATGTATACACATGTAAAACCTCTACAAAACTATGTGATTACAATAGAAAATACATTATTATATAATTTATTGATATTTCATTAGTCATGCCCATCAGGAAAATCGTTTGAAATTTCATTAGAGTATGTCCATCAAGAAACGTCATCTACTTTTGGTGAAACCCCACAAAACAATTGCTATTTTCTTTCAGTTACAGCCTTTCCCACACTTAGAACACTCTATCGACGGTTTATTTTTATTTATTTATTTATTTTTGCAAAATCTGCATCGACCTCTTGATGTATACAAAGAAAGGGTAGTGTCCAACACCATCAAAGCGTACATCTTCAACATACATCAGAGCAGCTGGTGTGAGAAGAAGTAAAATCCTTGTCTTTTAGAACACTTGTCTTTTACTCCTTTCTTTGGTTAGCATTCAAAAGTCTCATAACTAAAATTTTTTAGTGACATATTGTCTTGCTAGTTTTCAGTTTAATTATTTTCAACGTGGCAGCAATGCCTTATTCCACGATATGTCGATACGGTGATAAAATATTTGTAAGTACCAAAGTCTCTATCGGAATGCCCAATCAACTTTCATATAAAAAGATTCACTTTCAGCAGGAAATAAAACTCTTTTTGGTAGATATTTGTTGCAATGGATGGTCAGGATTTTTTGTAAAGCCAAAGTCTTTTCTAAACAGCCTATAGTGAAAAATCTTTCCTCGCAAAAACATTTTTATTTTACAATTTGTGAAAATAAAAGACATAGCCTACATTTACAAATATAAATACCTTTCACTGTTTTATAAACAGTGTGCCACTTTAGGCGTGCTCAATAAACTAAAAAAAATAACTGCATCTTCGGTAATGTGCCATTTTTGGCACGCCCAAAACCGTTCATTGTTCCCTGGTTCTTTGGCAATGTGTCATTTTTGTCACACTCAAATTGTTCGGTTTATAAAAAAATCTATATTCATATTTAAGCTAAAACTGACCTGGGTTATGTTTTCTTATCTTTAATCCGTGCAAATCACTTAGATATATAAGTAAACAGCCTAAAATATTGAACTAAGAAGTAATTTACTAACCTTCTACACTAAGCCTCCATACTTCCTTTTCTATATGTTGGTCTAAAAGTGATAGTAATTTCCAAAACATCCACTATAGTGCACTAAACCATAATAGCAATAGGCAAAGAACCTTTGGACACCGTTTGTTGAAATTAAAAAGTTAACAGACGAACGTGACATTTTTTTGAATCATCATGTGCCAATAATGGCACGCTGTCAAATTAAGGGTTAATAGTGTGTAATCAAAATATATAAAAAAAAACAACATTTCATTTCATATAACTTTATTCATTTCAGTACATCAATACAGGAATAGCGATCTATACTATATAAAGTTGGAAATGATTAATTTACCAAGTATCGAAATATAAGAAGGTTTCTACTGACTTATACAATCCCCGCCCATAGAACAGGCACCCTGCTAGTTAAATATCAAGATATCTCTTTTTACCCAAGACAAGGTCAGTTAGTGAAAGTAATCATTTTAACAAAGATAATAATAATAATAATAATTTATTTGTGCAACTAGTGAGCAAAGTGATAAATTGACTCACTCGAGAGAAATACTTACTCACGAGCCGTAGGCGAGTGAGGAATGGTTTCTCGAGTGAGGCAATTGCACTTTGCACTCGAGCTGCACATTATATTTTTCCTACAGTTACCATAAAACAAATAAATTGGTAAAGAAACGTAACATATTTTTACACAGAAGTGAACTTTTAATATGACATTTAATGATACAACAGTAAAACAGCTGACCAGCTGATTTACAGCCAGTGCTGCCAACGTATTTCGCGCACATACGACCTTGTCTGCATGTTACGCGCTCACTATTTTGTGCCTTCACGTTGCAAATCTGGAGTGAGACAAAGTAATTAGAGTGAGACAATGTTAACATTGTCTCACTGATGAGCGAATTGGCCACTTTGCTTTCTCAAATCAGTGAGAGAACATGTACATTGTTAGGTAACTGTAGGAAAACAGTATTTTTTTACCAGGCAGAAGTACAAACAAATATTAAAAATGTAAGAGAACATCTTCATAAAAACAATAAAATTATCTTAATTTAATAATCTAAATGAGAAAAAAATTTAAATACTGATGTTCAAAATAAATGTTAAACTAATCAACAGAATGGATCTAAACTGATTTGTCTCCACTTCTTCAGCCTCCTCTCCCCCAACCTCCATCGCGATCCACCCTGTCATCAGGCCTGGATATAACAGAACAAAAATTAATATTAAAAACAGTATTCTGAACAGAACAAGAGTCTTTTTATGCATACTTCTATCATTATTTAATGTACTCAGTGGCGTACTGAGGGGGGGGGGGGAGGTTTGCACCAGACCCCACACCAACATAGGCCTCCAAATCAGGGCCGTATTCCCCTAACGGTGGACACTGCGATTGCCAAGGGCTTCGGCCTGGGAAGGGGGCTCACTTGGGGCCTCAAAAGAATGCTTTTTCTCTTGGAAAATTTTCCCAAAATCTGTTAGAATTAGGGGGTACAATAATCCAAGTTTGTCTTGTATTCTCATGATAGCCGAAAGCATCTGCAAAGATTGCGTGATCGAAATTTACGACTACCAGCGGGTAGTCGTAAAATATAGCCTACATTTCCTAAAAAACAAAAGCAAATTTTTGGGCACATCTCCAGTTAAAATGCTGGTTAAATACTAGTAATTCAGGAGGGTTATGCGAAATAGGCTTGGGGGCAATGGACACGGCCCTGGATTTATAAGTTTTAAATTTAAGTAAATGGCAAAACTTACCATTAGTTAGTTCTCTTCAATCTTAGTCTTTACTTCGCCCCATCCTCCATCTCCTCTTCCTCTGACACCTCTCCCCTGTATTCTCCAATGTCGGAGGATATTAATTACAACGCCCCCATTTTACTGGTAGGCTTCAGTTCTGTACAGAAATATTGCAAAAAATAGTGTTATACAAATACTTTGAGTCCAACAAATAATACAAGTCTGTACACTCCTTTCTATATTTGTAATATTCAAATAGGTACAGATAATAGGAAAATGTTTGAGCAAATCTGGGTCAAGTTAGTACAACTATTATAATTTGTAACAATAATATGGTTTAGGCAAAATAAATTGGTTTAACACGTTCGCTACCACAATTATATAAAATTTACGTTTGCATAGACTAGCGACGCAATTGTGCGTCGACTCATTTCTCACAATAGACCACCGACGCATATTTGCGTCAGCTGATCATATTGAAATAGACTAACGACACACACTTGCGTCGGTGTTCAATGTTATTAATCAGCGTATTTCTTAGCAACGGTCTATTTTAAAGCCCTGATTTTATCGTATCAGTCTAGAGGGATATCTGCCGCAAATGTGCGTCGCTTGGTGTGTGGATATGACGATTGGTTACGTCACACAACAGTTGGCAACATTGTTGTTTACATTGTGCATTCCGCGACATCTCAGAACAGATGTAAACGTTATAACCTTTGCAGTTTTGGCGAGTGTTTGGAGTTTCTTTATTTGTTTGAGTAAATGCTTGAAACAACCAAATTTAAAACGACGCTTAAACGTGCGTCGCCTGGTCTATTGAAACGAAAATGTAGGTAATCTTTTTATCTGAATTTTATTAAATAGACTGACCGACGCATATATGCGGCGTTTTAAAATTTGCTCAAAACGATAAATAAAAACAATATTTATTGCTTACTAATTCACTTAAGGTCAATATGAAGTCAATTAGTCCATTTAAACGATATTTCTCTTTTGGTCTGTTGGCAATGTTATTCCTATATCACTTGGTCTGTAAGCAACGTCATGATCATTCCTTTTGGTCTGTAGGAGTGACCGGACCGACGCATATGAGCGTCGCTCGGTAGCGAACGCGTTCAACATTAATTCTTTGTTATTTCCCAATTTGCAAAAATGCAAGCTCTAGCCTAATTAAGACATTTCCAAACAACATGTTTCGAGATGTAATCCAAATGCATTTTAAGTAGGGGCCTAGTTTTGAATGTTTATAAAAAAACTATAAATTTGCATTAAGATTAATTATCCTTATGTTCCACCAAAAACTATTAATAATAGTTTATTTGTGTAGGTAACTAGTGGGCGAAGTGGCACTTTGCTACACATGAGAGAAATGTTTACGCACGAGCCGTAGGCGAGTGTGGAAAGTTTGTCGAGTGCAGCAATGGCAGTTTGCACTTGTGTTACACATTATATTTTCCCTACAGTTACCATAAAACATATAAATAATTAGTTGTTCAAACTCTGTTCAACACAAAATGCAAATGATTCAGTTTGGATCAGTGTCTATGGTTGTCGATAATATGGAACCCACCCAAATATCGACAGTAGGCCCTCCGGATAACACTTACCAAAGTACCGATTTGAACTTTGAATAACTTAGTTAACAAACATAGCCTAGAATCTATCACAAAGGGGAAAGAATGTTGACTCACCTCACTTAAGTTATGGTTAGACCAAGGAACATTATCACGGCAGTATGGTAATTGCCTCCAGGGTCCACAACTCTGGTCTCTCTTTCTCTCTCATCTGCTGTGATGTCGATGGCAATGTCGTCCAGAAAGGTTAGTCCTCTTAACTTATTGATTCAAGACAATATTTAAAATATAGACCAATTTGGGTTCAGGTCAAATTACAGCCTTTGCTCCAGGATCATCTATAAAATTAACATTGATGTCATCAGCAATGAATGATATAATCCAAGTCTAGTCTTACACCAAATACAAACAGCTCTAGAATATTTTGCAGCACTTAAGTTTACGTCCTACACTCATTCCAATGAATATATTTCTTTAATACTTTCTTTCTTATTACTTTGGCGACCATACAAAGTAGGTATTTTAAGCCAAGTACGAATGGAAATGAGTGTAGGATCAGGATGAGTGGCGCGATCTTGTAGTCTTGTTAGTGACTAAGGCCGACATTCCTTAGACACAGCTGTTAATTAATAGCCCATACAGCTAATGGCAACTAAGGGACCTACAGTTTATAGTGGAATCCGAACCACATTATTGCCTTGGTCTATAGCCTATACGAATTGGTCTAATTATCAGGATAGTACTGCGGATAGTCGTAGTACTCACACCAAGGAGTATCACATCCACAGTGCATGCCTATAAATATCCACAATTCGTGACCTCCTACGGTAGTAGCTGGATTACAGGACGACGCCACCCGTCCCAGTCATATTGATTATTTCATTCGATAAACTTAGGCCTATATCAATTTTGGGTAATGTTAGGGTGAAACCTAACCTAACTAACGGAATGAAATATTCAAAATATTAAATAGTCTAACTTATGTATTCATATCGGGTACAGTTTCTTAACTGGTCTATGCTAATATTGATTGAAACTATCGAATTGAAAATATTGATTAGTAATCGATATTTTTAAATACATCTATTGCAAAATAAAACTATCATAACCTAACCTAACCAACCAAACTTGCTGATGGTGAAAAAATCGCATGAAGGTTTACAAATCGAAACGATAGTTGCAATCGATATTAGCATAGCCCAGTTAAGAAACTGTACCCTTAATATCTTTCATTTGAATGAATAAAGGACATAAACTAAAGTGCAGCCGCATATTTTTAAATAACAAATTCTTAAAGTTGACACTGGGTCAATGGGAATAAGAGACAATCCTAATAGCCTAGGGATATGCCTATTCAAACATTTGCTACAATATTGCTTGATGATTCAGAATTAGCCTACGAATAAGCTGTATCTTAAGTTCTTGTTGGTGTCTTACTTTACCTTCTTGTTGGTGACTTACCTAAAGTGTCTGTTATCATGTTGATTAGCCTACATAACCTACCTATACAAATTATTTCACATTGTTTCCCTTAAAAACTATTGTTTGTAACACACGAGTCACCAATTTTCCTGTAAGCAAGGAAAGAAATAAAAAAGATAAATATTTACAATATAAAAGTAATAACTTAATGCTTAGTCAAAATGGCCAGCTTATCATTATTCATTGTCCGTCGGAATTCGGAATTAAATATTGCGATGCGACTCGTAAGTTGAGGAACTGAACGATGAATTAGACAACTCCTTTTCAAGAGTAGCTCCGAAGAACGGGAGCTTGTCGATATACTGGGACTATTTCAGTGTCGACATAGTGAAACTATTTCATTGTCGACAATATGGGATGTCGACAATTTGTGGTGTCGATCATTTGCGACGTCGGTTATTTGGGATGTCGGTTAAGTGGGAATATTCCAGTGTCGACAAACTGGGAATAATTCAGTTTCGATCAATTTCTACGGTTGTCGATATTATGGAACCCACCCAGTTAATCTATGGCTTAATAAACCAGGTTTATACTAAGTTAGTCCACGGCCACCTTTAACTAGAGGCCGCGGCTTGGTAGAATTGGCAACGTCGCAAGTGGTGTTGTTTAGTGACAGACGTCCCATAAAAAAACATGGCAGACAGGTGACATCAGCTCATTAATTCGCACTTTATTGATTTAAATTTAAATTAATGAACATAAATTTATTAAAATACTGAAAATAAAACATACAGAATTGAAAACCGAAACAAAATTAATTCAAAATCTCTATATGTACATTTTTAAGCGGATTCAATATTGTCATGGTCCAGTAACCAATCTTTCGTAAATACACAAATACCATTAGCTGCTTCCAAACAAAACAGCTGTTACAACACCACTTGCGACGTTGTCACTTCGAAGGCCTCGGCCTGTATAATTAAAGGTGGCCGTGTTTATTCACGTCTAGTATTACCACGGCCGCTTGCTTGGTTACTGGACTATGAAAATATTGACTCCACTTAAAATGTACAGATATAGATTTTCAATTAATATTGTTTTGGTTTTCAATTCTGTAAGTTTTATTTTCAATATTTTAATAAATTTATGTTCATAAATTTAAATCAATTAAGTGCGAATTAATGAGCTGATGTCACCTGTCTGCCATGTTATCTTATGGGACGTATGTCACTAAATAACACCACTTGCGACGTTGCCAATTCTACCAGGCCGCGGCCTGTAGCTAGAGGTGGCCGTGCACAGACACACCACGGCCACCTTCGACTCCTTAACACCTTACCGACTGTAGTTAAAAAATGTCGACGTGAAACCACACAATATTCTCTCCATCTCATCGAATTGTTATGACCAACATTTCATCATAGACCTACCTAATTACTAGAAACATTCGAAATTACCGACTAGAGATAATTCCATTATTCTAGGCGTTTTTTTTAAGTAAGTACCGTTTTTAAATTTCTCCGTTCCAGCACTGCGATTGGCATTTTCGACATTTGCGCTTTGTATGGGCATCTATTGGGCATCTATTGGTAAGACCACCCGGCAATTCGAGAACAATCGGTTGCGTTTACATCCGGTTTCGAGCATTCAAAATAGTGCCACCAATTGAGACTGCCGCCGACTGTGAAGTGCGCACTGTAATTAGATTTTTAAGTGCTTAAGGTGTGAAAGCGATTGAATATCATCGACAGATTAGTGAAATGTATGGCGAGAACATTATGATTGACAAAATGGTACGCAAGTAGGTAAGGGCATTTTAAGACGGCCCCACCAACGTCCATGATGAGCAACACACTGGGTACGGGGACAGTAATGACGATGTGTACGTTCCAGTGCGTTACTTATCATGAACGTTGGTGGGGCCGTATTTAAATGCCCTTATCCACTTGCATACCATTATGGCACTCATAATGTTCTCGCCATACACTTCACTAATCTGTCGATGATTTTCAATGGCTTTCACACCTTTAGCACTTAAAAATCCAATTACAGCGTGCACTTCACAATCGGCGGCAGTCTCAATTTGCGGCATCATTTTGAATGCTCGAAACCGGATGTAAACACGGCCGATTGTTCTCAAATTTCCGGCTAGGTCTTACCAATAGATGCCCATACACAGCGCAAATGTCAAAAATGCCAATCGCAGTGCTAGAACGGAGAAATTTAAAAACGGTACCTACTTAAAAAACATGCCTCGTATATGAGCCCTAAGATGCAATATCAGTAAGATCTTAAGGTGGATTTGATAGAAGCCACAGTGGTAATTATACAGGGTGTTCATTTGAAAGCTTTCCATATCTGTAGTGTGCAAAGTTAAGGCTTTTAACACCGGTTTGTTCTCATTTCCCCCTAATTTGGACATGCCAAATCCAATAAAATTATTTACAATTTTGAAAAATGCCCCAAAAGGGCTCAATTTGGGGGGTAGGGGTGCTTTTTGAGAAATTTTCAAATGTAAACATGGGTTGTGTGATACATCAATTTAAAGGTCTAATTACCCCGATCATTTTGGTAAAAAAAAAGAATTATCATTAACCGTATTTACAGGGTGTGTCAAAACGTTTTAAAAAAGGACTTTGAAGTTAACCATTAATCATTAAAGTTAATCATTTACAGCTATATGACTAAAGGTCTTACCTAGATATTTATTGTTAAACACTTTGCAGTTGTCCTGGAACACTTTTGTTCTGACCAATAAGTAAAAATAAAGACTATTTTTTTTAGTGTACACCATATTCGATTAGGTTCTAAAAAAAATAGTACTTTTGAAATTAGTAGTCAATGGTACCACAGAAAGCGGCCCACTTTTGGGTTTTTGTCATCAGCTACAAGACTTGTTTTCACAAAGTAAAATGTAATAACTTGTTTGTCTATCAATAATTATGATTTGTTTCCTTCAGTTAATGCACTATAAATGTAACTAGAGACGAATTTTGTCTGTTTTATTAGAAAACTAGTTACAATTTTACTATAGAAAATTCAGTTTTTCTACTGAAATTTCTAAACGGTAAGAGATAGAAAGAAAACTTAAATATGTAAAATGTTTGTTTAAAAAGGACCTTTCACATGATATGAAATTTGTTATACCTTGCTATTTAAGAATTTTCAGCTTTCTTTTATTCTTCAAATTTGAGATTTTTTTAAAATTAGAAAATAACATGGAAAATGCCCTTACTACGAGTTATCTTAAAGAGTAGCTCAAGAATAAGCTTTGAAAAAAAATTGGCGCTGTTCCGTTCAGTAGTTAGGGTTATACGGTAGTTAATTTCAAAGTCTTTTTTTAAAACGTTTTGACACACCCTGTAAATACGGTTAATGATAATCAAACTTTTTTTGCACCAAAATGATCGGGGTAGACCTTCAAATTGATATATCACACAACCCATGTTTACATTTGAAAATTTCTCAAAAAGCACCCCTACCCCCCAAATTGGGCCCTTTTGGGCCATTTTTCAAAATTGAAAATAATTTTATTGGATTTGGCATGTCCAAATTAGGGGGAAATGAGAACAAACCAGTGTTAAAAGCCTTAGCTTTGCACACCTCAGATATGGAAAGTTTTCAAATGAACACCCTGTACAATATGAAGATCCTCTTATTAGCCCCGAATCTATTACAACCGTCCAACTCTGCACTAATCCATATAAATTAGGGTGTAGTAATAAAACTTCAAGCAAGGCGTGTTCCCTTATCATAAAATTATGTCTATGACACATATTTATTTGCTTTTGACAATTGTGAGATTTTACGTAAAAAAGTCTGGTTTTTGTTCCTACATTAAAAAACCATTGACAAATATTTTAATGTCTTTATTGGGGTTGGTTTAGTGGAGAAAAAATTTATTTAATCATTGAAGGACCAACATCTGAAATCAATGCGGCGTCTGAAATCAATACTGGACACCTTAAGGCCCGTTTTGCAAGAAGCGTCTGGTGGGTCTGACGCTTAGCGATGATCGCTAGAGCGATAATCGCTCAGCCTCTATCGCTCGGGCCTATTTTGCCAGAAGCATCTGTTTCTTGCGATTATTTGATCAGTGAGTGGTTTGCTTTGGTGGCGAATCAAATGTTTCTGAAAATGAGCTGTAACAATCAAATAGTAAAGTATTAGTTAGCTGAGGAATTAGACGATGAAGAGATATTAGAAATAAGGGGCAAACGTAGGGAAGAAGTGCACACTATGTTTTTAAAGAGACCTGAAGAGGGAAATTTTAAATTGTTGATTGGAAATACCCTCCTCCGCTCTGATGAGACCAAGTTTCACTAGTTTCATCTAGTGTTTCAATGTTTCATCTTCTTCACTATTAAATCCCCACTTTGATTGTGACATGTCACTAAACTTGAAAACACAACTTATTTGAGGAAACAAAAGTTAAGTCAACACCTAAACACGTGCTTATTCCAGTAACAATCGCTAGCGACTGCGTCTCAGTCTGCTCCAGGAGCAGTGGTCCGCGTCAGACGCTGGCGTCTGTAGTGATAGACGCTTCTGGCAAAATAGACTAACCTAAAACAATGCAAAGCAGTGGGCAGCGATAGACGCGGTGCGATAATCGCTGAGCAATAGACGCACGAGACGCTTCTGGCAAAATGGGCCTTTACTAGGTTCACTCTGTATATTGCTAATTCTTAAAACTGTAACTTTTGATGATTATTGATACTACCCCAATAACGTATACATTTATGTAAAATGGTGTGTTGGCGTTTAAGAAGTAAATGTAAGATAGAATGTACAGTGGGCTACTATTGAATTGAATTTGGTAGGAGACTCTAATCCTATTGTGAAAACCGAGTCTTGATGCTGGTAGGGTTCTGGGCATATGTTATTTGGGGCTTAGGGGAACTGTAATGCTTGTATCATGGATAAACACCTATTTCCCGCCATCTACCGTATGTAATGTAGCCTACTATTGTTTCAAGAACTGTTTGTAACATATTTAATGTAATATATATATATATATATATATATATATTCTTATTTATGGTTATATTATAATTGTCAAGCTGTGTTTACACGAGGCCAGTAGACAGATGCAGGTTACCTTTCAGATAACTTGAAATACACTAGGGACAGGTAATCAGGCTGTCTACTAGCCTTGTAAAGAACAGCTTGAAGGATAAAAAGTAATAAGAAAAAAATTTCAAAAATTATAAAGTATATATTTGGAAATAGCACAACAATGTAAGCTCAAACTTAATAACTTAACAAAAATAACTTTCTTGGAAAGGAAAAATATATTTTACACAAAAAAATTGAATTACGATGGAAACATTCCTTGTCTCCTCTTCTTAGCTGCCATTGCTCTGCGGTTGTGATTACCACGGGAAGATTTGTTGGTATTTTTAAACTCCCGATTTCTGACAACCTCTTTTTCTTGTCCTTGTCCTTTGGCTTTTCCTGTAATTGATCATTTACATTTGAATTAGTTTTTGTACAAGTGAAATTTATATAGTAGACAATAAGGTAACTCCAGGGGTATTTTGCCTTTATCTTGGTTAAATATTGACATGGTGTAGAAAAAGATGTATAACAAAATACATATAATGACAAAAAATAGAAAAAAATAAATGTAATGTAAAAACAGCCATACAATATAGAGCTTGAGAATAAACATAATGTTTAAAAAAATTATGTATTCAACCAAATAAGATTTGCAAAGAAAGAATATTACAGCAAAATATTAGTCGAAAACAATTAAAATCTTAACCCTCCGAGTGTCCCTTGTTTTGGCCTTAATGTCTGCCAAAACAATTTATATGCCTATTACGTTCTATTATATTATATGCCTAAACCTCTAAATTATATGCCTATTTTTTGCTCATTTGCTAGGTTTTATTAAAACGGATCTGAGAAGCTTGAAAACAATGTTAATTATACTGTTCTATATACCATTTTGTTTGGAAAATCATGGGCTTCAATATTATACATAGAACATAAGGAACATTTGTTTCAAAAAAATTTTTTAGGTAAAATAAATATTTTGGAAAATTTTCAAAAAAAAAATAAGTTCGCGCTCAATGAAATTGTATAAATTATAGGCCTATAAATATTTGAAAATAGCCACTTTGTTCTAAATTTTATGAGGATTACAAATATATAGTAATATAAGGAAGTAGATTTGCAAATAAATAAGTTATGGGCAAAAAACAGATTTCAGTACATAGCGATTAGCTAAGAATGCATAGCCTAACCATAGCTAGGAATCTGGCTGATAATTTACATCAATATCACTACCTACTTCTTCAGGATCATCAACCAGCCCTTCAAAATCACTTAAATCTTCTTATAATGCACCACGTATATCACTACTTTTTATTTTTAACACTAAAACAATGATAAACGTAATAAAACACATCAGTCATCGGTACGAGGTTAATCAAGCTGTTTACAAATACGCACGTCAGCTGTCTGCTACAATATTTTCGGAACTAAAATGAATAGCGCTTAGAGACAGACCTCCGGAGAAAGCTCTGAATCTGTAAAATAAAACGATACCTAACTCGATCCAGTTCAATCCGATTTTGTCAGTCATAGAGCTTTCGCCGTAAACAGTGTTTGTGAGTCGCTGCAGCGACAAATAACACTCGGAGGGTTAGAAACAATGGAACACTATCAAAACTCTTATTGGAGAAAATACGAAAGGATGTAGGTAGAACACATTGTATTGAAAGGTGATGATAAAGAATTAATGATAAGCCCTGAAGTAGTTGCATATTAACCCCCCCCCCCTCTGTTTTGTATTATTTTTTGTTTGTACAGTAGAACCTCGATAAATCGACACTTTGTGGTCTTAAGGGGTGTCGAACTACAGTAGAAACTTGATAACAAGACAATAGGGATTATAAAATAAGACTTGTTATCAAGGTTGATTTCTTATCGAGGTTTATCTGTTATGCATAAGGTTATGCAGATTTAGGCAAGTTGAAGTACATGTATTTTTATACAAAATTTTGTGGAGAACGCGATGGTACTGTTAAATGTTGATGAAAGTTTTAAAATAACCCAAAAAATGCAACATTTTTGCAATTATGCAATTTTTTCAAAAAATTTTAAGCAACTCTTCTCTGGGGGTGTTTATGAGATATATTTTTTCAAACCACGTTTACAAGTTCCATTTATGCTCCTCTTATACCCAATAAAAAGTTTAACGCTTATTCGCGACCACCCTGCATATATAAACTATACAATATTAGTAGGATTATAGGCCTACCAGGGACTTTAATAATTATTGTTATTGCAAATCGTTCAACCAAATTCATTGTAGTCTATACACTTGTGGCAAACGAAAAACTTGGGATCGTTCGAGTTAGACAATTTTTTGATACGTTGAGAAAAGTAGGGAAGATTGGAAGACGACGGACACCTTCAGCCATATATGGCAGGACATTTTCAAAGCTTGCAACTCGTCAAAAACACATTTAAAACATGGACGACACAAACAAAAAAAAAACATTAAAATGGTACGAATACACAATAAACATTTGTGTTCGTGTTGTCCGTGTTTTAAATGTGTTTTTGACGAGTTGAAGCTTTGAAAATTTGGTCTTCGCAACGAAACATGTACCTACCTAAGCTGATGAACAATATTAATCGTTGGACTATTTGACGGAGGTATGTAAAAAACCTATTATTGTCGTAACACAGTTTGGTTAATGTCTCAGTCTCAGACTTCGGTATGGGGGCACAGGTTTAATTCCTGGCATAATCACAAAAACTAGAATTGATGTTTTGTTTTTGTAATGGACTTTCGCATCAATATTCTACCTTTTCCCCAAGCATTATTGATTTGCAAGAATACCCTTTCAACTATTGCCGATATGCATTTCAAACAGAAAATGTATTCCAAAATCAGACCAAGATTTCAAACTAGAACTAAATTTAGTGGGGGGTCACGTCCCCCTTGATGCCCACCTGAGGCAATCAAGAAAATACTTTGTTTAACATTTTACTTCACCTTGGTTACAGCAAAACATAGCAGAAACATATAACTTTTGAACAAAGAATCGTAAATAAAAATAAGTTACCTAGCAACAAAATTCATATTTGAAATGAACTTTTAACAAGTCACAAGCTCTCTGTATCGTGAGTAATAATAATAAGAAATTGAAGAGTAAACTTTAAATTAGAAACATGTAGATAAGTTTTAATTGTATTCTTAGCTTTGCGAATCAATTATGAGAACGTTGATTATTTTGGACATAATTAAAAGTATCTTAATCAAATTTCTATCTTAGCTTTGTTAAACTCATCCCATTTCTATGATTGTAGTTTGATTAGCCATAAGTTTGATTTCAAAGGTTTTTTTTCTGATTGAGATAGGAAATCCTTAATTATTTAAGTTAAAATATCATTTTTTAAATGTACAAAACATCAAATTTATTTATAAGGAAAAACAATTACCTTCTGGTCCATTTTAAGTTTATTATTGAAGACTAGGCCTATTGGTTGTTTCATGACTTCCTAGTTCCAAGCTCTTTTTCACTAAACTTGCAAACATGAACACGTTTCAAAATTACATTAAGGAATGTAGAGTAGTACTGCATTCCATCAACACTCAAATGAATAAATTTTGAAAACTAATGTGTATAAGGAAGTTCTGAAGATGTCTATTATTATATTGAATCAAATATTGAGTTAGAAATTATCTATACACTTGGAGGCAGTTCACGAGTCACGGGTTATCCTTAGTTCGAGCGCAAAATCCAGTTATAGCCAGTTTTTTTGCGCCACGGCTTAGAAATCGGCTTCACGAGTACGAGGTTACGCGCGCTCGGGCGCAGACAGATAAACTTCACCCAATTATGACAAGGATAAACCCGAGCGCAAAAAGTCGGCTTCACGGGTTCAATTAGAGAAAACCCCGGGCCAAATGTCGGGTTCACGAGTCATGGTCTAGCGCAAACTGGATAATCTCAGGCGTAAATAACAATGGTTTTGGACTTCAACTTAACCCTGCTAGGGGGCAGGGTTAAGGTGACATCATGTCGGGATTATCTCATTTGCTCGTTTATTGTTTTTTTGTTAGCAAAAAGAATGTTATATTCGGATTCGCCATTAAATTCTGAAAAATTTCATTACCCTCAACATGATATTTATTTTTTTTTATTTTTTTACTACTGATTGCCGAAAACATGCAAAACATCGTAAAAAGTAACTGTTGAGACATTTTAATTAATTATTACTAAGTAAAAATATAACTAATAGCTTAACATATTCATATAAATTTAAATTGCCATCGAATCTTATTGCGTAAATGTTTTATATTTATTTTAGCAATTTTGAATCCTTTTATCTCAGCTGAATAATATCAAAATGAAAATGGTTCCATCAAACACTGTTAGGTTTGTCTAAGAATTTTTATTGTATAAAATTAGTACAATTATTGTTCCGCCATAAAATTCATATAAAACATAGGTCATTTTAACTAAGTATCCAAATTTTACTTTGTATGTTTTAAATTATATGTTTATATTACTATGTTTATGATTTAACATTTGTTAAAGAAAGACCTTTTCATCTGATAATGTCATTTGTCATATCGGGATTTACAATAAATTGCTTCAATTTGCTGAGGTAAAAGATTAATTCTATAGTTAAATATAAAAAACTTTGTATTACAACAAAATATTTTTTAAAATTATAACCTGTTTTCTCATGCTTAGGGCTGCGCTCTGCCCGTCTGGCGCGCGCAAATGTTCTTAGGGGTTTAGTTCTTAGGCCTGCTGTTTGTAGCCCCAATTGTGAACCGATTTAAAAGATCTTGGTGTCATAAAATGTTATTGTAGGTTTGCCATTTTATATTTACATTTATTACTGTATACGTATGAAGGCATATCGGCTCCTATAATAGCCAGTTGTTGCTCCAAATTTATTTTTTATACAAATTACTCATACATAAAAGATATTCATAAATCTTTGAAAAGAGCAGTCATTTTATTAAATAATTTGAACGTTTTGATACAACTGCAAACCTGATAAAGTATGTCTTATTTTTGAACATAATTGGTAATAGAATTTTATTGCAAACATTACTAAGATTTGTATAAACTTTTTTTAAAACATAATTGCATTTTCCCAATTCAAAGTATTCAGTAAAAGTATATTATTCATAATTCAATGATAAATTGAGTAACCTTAAACTTAAGTATAAAATGAATTCAAGTGCATATCCACAACCTTTTATACGATATCAGTAAATACTCTGTTTAATTATAATAATTTATGAACCAATCATTATGACGTAACGTCATCCTATTGTTTTGGAGCTCGTCGACCGCGAGCAGCGGCCCGGCAGGTGGCTGTTGCCAACCTCCCAACGAAAATTCCCAGTTAATCCCTGCTCTTGAGCGACGGCCAGCGTTGGTCTCGGCTAAGCTTGATCTCGGCTAACGCTCTAT